GGCCTGGAGCAGCGGCGCCGCAAAGCTGAGCCGGCAGCTGAGCCGGCGCGAACGCTGTGTGCTGAGCTGAGCCGCCGCCGGAGGAGTCCTCGGCTTTCCGGTCGCCGCCCCGGCGTGCGCTCCCGACGACCCGGCCCCCTCGGCTGCCGCGCGCGGCTGTAGGGGCCGCTGTCGCTCCTTCCCCGGGAGGACGGGGTGCCGCGCCTTCGGGCGTATTAATTTGTCTGTGTGTGTGTGTGTGCGTGTTCGCGGGGGCCTGGGGGGCCCCCGGAGCGTCGGGCAGAACCCCTTCCCTCGACGGCAGGGGCCGGGGGGGGCCAGCCGAAGGGGAAGCAGGGTGGCTGTGAAACTGGCCGCGCCCGCCCCCCTCTGCTTCCTGTTCCCTGTGAGCAATAAAGTTGGACAAGGCCACACAGCACCGACTCTTTCTCGGGGCAGCTGGGGTTTCAATGGACGGAAGGGGTTGGTGCTTAGGCCGATAAGGTTGTCTGCGATCCTCGACGGGGCTGTGCGGGCTCTGAGGTTCCCAGATGCCAATGGAGCGGGACCTCCCAAGGTTGATGGGCTTTGGGTTCACTGTAGGGAACAACCGTTTCCAAAGAAGAGACAAAAACAGAGTTGGGGTTGTTGACCATTTTATTTTGTTTTGTTTTTTAAGATTCACCCTTTTTAAAAAATATTTTTATTGATTTCAGAGAGGAAGGAGAGGGAGAGAGAGAGATAGAAACATCAATGATGAGAGAGAATCGGCCGCCTCCTGCACGCCCCATTGGGGATCGGGCCCACATTGGAGACTGGGCCCACCACCCGGGCATGTGCCCTTGGCTGGAATCGAACCTGGGGCCCTTCAGTCCGAAGGCTGACGCTCTATCCACCGAGCCAAACCAGCTAGGGCAACCATTTTATTTTTTGTTAACATTTTATTCTCTGAGATTCTCACATCCACGCTTCCCCTTCATCTCTAGAGAATTCCCCTCAGGCTTCTTCACCTGAAAGGAGTTAACTCCATCACCGAACACCTGTCAGCAGGCGGGGGCCTGTTCTGGGGCTGCAGTTGAGGGGGGCAGGGTGCTGAGGGCCAGTTCATCCTGACCCAGGATGCCACCTTGGTCCTCAGCAGTCAAAGGGCCACTGGACCCAAAGAACTTCACCAAGGCACGGACCTGTGGCAGCTCCGAAAACGTCTCCACTGCCAGCAGCACGGCCAGGAGCCCCAGGAGCAAGTAACCTGGGGAGAAAAGGTTCTAGGGCAGCTTTGGGGGAAGCCGATGATGCTCTCTGCCCACCCCCTCGCCTGGGGACCCACCCTGGTACCTGACGCCACTCACAATTCTCTGCCGAGTTCTTCCAACTAAAATCCCCTACACCTGAGGCTCAGCCTCCCCCAGTGGTGTATGGGAGTTGTAGTCCAGGCTCCTCTCCTCCCACCCGTGCTCGTGGGCAGCTGAACTCACCGAGAAGTGCGATCTGGCCAAGGTGGTAAAGCACTGGATTCAGGTCACGGCCACGACCAGGCAGCAGGTCCCCCAGGCCGATGGTGCTGAGTGAGCCGAAGCAGAAGTAGATGGCCTCCAGCAGGCTGTCGTCGCCCTGCAGACCCCACAGCAACAGCGCGGGCAGCAGCACGAAGATACCAGCCACGAGCAGGCCCAGCCCAAGTGCCTGCAGCAACGCGGCCCTGGCCGGGGTCAGCTGCCAGCGGACAGCTACCCAGGCAACCGGGCAGCTGAGCAGAGGCAGCAGGCAGTGGCGCAGTGTGGCCACAAGTGCTAGGGAAGCTGGCAGCCCCAGGGCCGCGTAGACCACGCAGAAGGCCTTTCCGCCTGCTGAGAGCGGGGCCATGTGGCCGTAACCTGAACAGGAGAAAGACAGTGGGCAGTGAGCCCTTGTGTGCAATGCCTGCTAGGGTCCCCACTTCCCCCAGCAAGCCTGTGGAAGGCTGCCCTCTAGTGGCTGAAACTGCTGGAACCGTTTGGGCCCATGCTCTGGCTCTGCTCCTCATCAACTGCAGAGCCTTGGGCAAGTCCCTTAACCTCTCTGGACGACTCTTTTATTTTCTGGAAAATGAAAAATTAAAAGAGACAGTCTGCCCTCAGTCCTCTTGGGGCTGGGACAATTCTGAGAATTGCTGTCCTGCCCCAGAGGGAGCCTGGCTTTCTAAGATCCTCAGCTCTGCCTTTGACAGGTACTTCTGCACCCACTGGGCAGGGCATCACCCACCCTTTCATCCCCCAAAGGTGTTTTGAGTTCTCCTGTGTGCGGGCCTGGCGCTGGAATCTGAGTCTGCTCAGGCCCTGCCATGCGGTGGGGGAGGCAGGCAGGAAACCTGTCAGGGCACCGCAGAAAGAGCTGCAGAAGAGGCAGTGTGCATGAGAAAGGGCCTTCAGTGCCAGGACAGCTTCTGGAAAGCAGGGAGAGGTGAGAGAGCGGGAGAACAGGCCCAGCTAGTCCGGAGCTTGTAAACTCCAACGCCTCGAGGAGCCAGGCAGTGGTGGGGACCGGGAGACAAAAGGGAGTGGTGGGGACTGGGGTGCACTGAGAGCCTGTGCGCTGCCCCAAAGGCCAGGCCCTGTTCCGCTCCTGCCAAACGTTGCCTTGCAGGAATCCTGGCTCAATGCAAATAGGTTTTCTGATTTTTCCAACAGAAGTTGGAAAACAGATTAATTTAAAAAAATATTTAGAGACTTTGCTGACCAAAAAAAAAAAAAAAAAAAGACCAACCAAAAAAACCAGGGCTGTGTGTCCCATTGCTTTATTTCTTTGGCCCTTCACACATGCTGTTCCCTCTGCCAGGAATTCCTTCACCCCTCATCTCTGTGCCCTGGCTAACATCTCATCAAGACTTCTCACCTGGGAGCCTTCCCTCACGTTCCCTCCTGAGCCAGCGCTGCCCATCTGTACGCCCCAGGCTCACTCCATTTCCCCACCCAATCATCCATCCCATAATGTGTTCCCTGCCTTGCTGCGGGCCCATGGGGTCTGGGCACCTCTCCTGGGTCCCAAAGGGTGCCTTGGGGTGGGGCTGGAGAGGCCACGCCCCTCCTGGCAGCTGAAGTTGAGGCACCAGTTGGGGTGTGTTGGTGTGGAGAGACCCAGCTGTGATGTCAGGCCTCATAGAGCCTGGGCTCTGTCTGGCACTTTGGAGCTGGGGGAAGGGTTGTACCCCCAGGGACCCCAGGGGGCGCTGGAATTAGGAGGCCCCCTTCTGCCCAGCCACCTGGCAGCCTTACCTGTGGTGGTGAGGATGCTGGCGGTGAAGAGCAGGGCTGAGGGCAGATCCCAGTTCCCAGCCTTTGAGACATTGCCCAGGCTGGAGATCCCATGGGCCTGGGCTGCCAGGGCGGTGCCCAGCAGCTCCTCCAGTGCCCCGGTTGGCAAGCATGCCCCGTACTCCGCCTGGAAAGTGGCCAGCTCGGCCCTGAGCTGGGCCTGGAGCCGGCGTGCTGGGGGCCCCTCCAGGGCCTGGAGCACCGCAGCCCCAAGGCCCAGAGCCAGCAGGTGAGCCACGATCAGTAGCCCGTATCGAGCCCAGGGCCTCAGCCCCCCCATGGTGTGCGCCTGGGAGTCTGGGGTGTCCTGAGAGCTGGCTGCTCCACCTCAGGCAACTGGGAGGGTTGTCAGGTGGGGCCGGGAGGAGGTGCCGCGTGGGTGGCTGAGCGTGAGGGAAGCCTGGGACGCAGCTGGGCGAGTGTGAATGGAGGGAGAGGAGGCAGCTCAGGCTCGGAGATGAGCTGGATCGCTCCTCCCAGTTTCTAGGCCACTATTTGCCCAATTCCCCAAAGCTGGGGTGGCGAGGACCAGGTGGAGGAAGGTGAGGCCCAGAGAGTAAATGGCTCAGAATCACACTGCAGCGTTTACTCGGGGACACGACCACTGTCACACACGCCCATCCCCTCGGCGGCGGCTTGGATCCCGAGGACACAGCGGGAGAGGACAGACACACGTCCCTTCCTTTCTGTTCACACAGGAAATCTGTTGGCAAGGAAGCGTGAGGTTCACGTTGTCGTACGCCCCCTGAAGGAAACCTGGGCCATGGGCCTCTGAGAGCTCTGGGGCAGGGGCTCTCGCTGGGAAGGTGCCTGTAGGAGTGACAGTTCAGCTGGGGATAGAAGAGGCTAGTCAGGGTGGGAAAGAGCTGGGGTGTGAGAGGAACGGGCTGAGAGGGTGAGGACACAGCCTTGAGGACGAGTGTGGCCCAGGAGACCTGTGGGGTATTACTGTTTGCATCCTGGACGGAAGGTGGTGGCCGGGCAGCTGAGTGGGAGAGGAATAGGGGGTTGGGATGGGTCTGCTGGGGACAAGGGTGGCAAGGCGTTGAGGACACAGAGCGCTTGGGAGAGATGGTGCTGTCAGGTCTCCATTCCAAGTCCTTCCTGGTAAGCGCCCCCCCGCCCCACCACCCCCCGAACACTGCAGACAGTGAGCCTGGCTGCCGTGGACCATGAAGGGGAGGGGAGCCCAGACCAGGACTCGCAGAAACCTCAGAACCCCATGGTAGTAAGGAAAGCGAGTGGAGCCAGGTGCCAGGGCAGGTCACTGTGTCCAGACCCTGCGATAGAGTCAGGACAAACCTCCAAAACGCTGCCCAAGGGCTGTGTGTTCCTGAGTTCAGCGAGCTGCCTGGTTGGGAGCAGCATGGCCGAGTCCCAGGGGCGGTAACACGAACTGGCCCGAGGCTAAGCGGGGCCCTTCCGGCAGCAGGACTAGTCAGGTGAAGTCACCGGCAGTGGTGGGGAAAGCCTGGCAAGGGTGAGGAGGTGGGCGAGGCCAGCTTGTGTGGGTGCCAGGGTGGCTGACAAGGGCCTTGAATGCCTGACTGAAGCTGGTGGACTTGATCCCAGGAGAGGGGTGTGGTGCAAGGCACCAGCCCAGGCCCAGGCCCAGGCTGACGGACCGTTTGCTGGGGGCAGGAAGTCACCAGCATCGTGTGATGGGTTGGATCCCTGGTTACTTCCAAGAAAGGTGACAGGCTGTGCTTGGGGAGATAGCTTGGGAGTTTATTTGGCTTCATTGGATCCTGAGGCCGAGGCCCCAACCCTGGCCGGGCAGCAGGAAGGCACCTAGAGAACCCTGGCCCTAGATGACCCCCAGGGCAGGGGGGTTCAGGCACTAAGCCCTGGGGCAGGGGCCGCAGTAGCAGGACTTGGTCAAAAGTGCTGGTGACAGCTGAGGCCGGCCCCTCCCTGCGCTACCCCTGGGGGCGATTCCCTGAGACAGGCTATGGTCCTCCTAACCAGCTGGGTACAGGTCAGGCCCCAGTGGGGCAGGTAAGTCAGGGGACCCACAGGCTGCAGGTATGCGGGGGGTGCAGGCCCCCCATCCAGTGTGAAGGCTTCCTGTGCAGTGTAGTGTTCCTGACCCCCAAAGGGGGCGGGGTCCCTGGGGGGAGCCAAGGCAGCGTCAGAGGCTGGCCCGGCTCCTGTTCCAGTGTAGGCTGTGGCTCCTCTGGGGCAGCTGGAGCGTGGGGAGCAGCTGGTCCACTCACGGCCCTGCCTCCGGCATCCACGGGGCCTGGGCACCCATGTCTTTGGTCTGCGCCCTGCAGTCCTGAGGCCCCCCCCGGAAGGGGTTGGCGGGTGGAGAGTCCCAGAAGGGGTCTGAGTCTGGGAACAAGGTCCAGGGCGCCCGGCGGGGCGCAGGCTGTGGCGAGGGCAGGGGCGAAGGCCGTGGTCCAGCTGACACGAAGCTCCACGGGTCGATGCGGCTGCGAAGGGGTGAGGGCCGAGGTCGGCTGATGAGGCCCAGGGGCGGTGAGCGTGGGGTGCCCGGGGTGCCAGGAGCAGAGCGGGATATCCCTGGCGGGGGTGAAACAGTGCTTCCTGTGACGAGCAGAAGAAGAGCACAGGGTCAGGCAGCACCTACTCCTGGGTGTCCCAGGAGGCATGCCCTGCTCTGGGCCTGTTTTCCCATCTGCACAGCGAGCTACTTGACTCCTCACTTCATGGCCCCTTGTGCTCCCGGAGCATCTGTTTATAATGTGGTGGTAGGAGCCGGGCCTCTGGAGCAGACAGGCCTGGGCTTGGATCCCAGCTCTACCGCGTGGTAGTGGGAGCCGCAAGTCCCTGGCTCTCCCTGTGCCTTCAATTTCCTCATTTAAAAATGGGTCTAACAAGAGTAGCTAGTTCACAGGGTTCCTACAATAATCGCAGCAATCTCTGTAAAGCACTAGAAACAGTGTTCCTACAATAATCGCAGCAATCTCTGTAAAGCACTAGAAACAGTGCCCGCACAAGCAGGCAGCTAGCAGGCGTCTGCGATCACTGCTGTCATTGTTCCTTCTATTATTTCTCAACTAGCCTGGCGGGCCCTACTCCACTCCTGACCACTGGTGTGGGGTCCAGCACCCAGGTGTGGGGACCAGCACCCAGGTATGGGGGCCAGCGCCCAGGTGTGGGGACCAGCACCCAGGTATGGGGGCCAGCGCCCAGGTGTGGGGACCAGCGCCCAGGTGTGGGGACCAGCGCCCAGGTGTGGGGCCAGCGCCCAGGTATGGGGACCAGCGCCCAGGTATGGGGGCCAGCGGAGAAGTGGGCCTGGCCCTACTGCCCTGCATGCCCCCACCAGCCCTTCCTCCCCTCTCCATCACCAGGCAGGAGGCCTGCACTGGGCCACTCACCGCGCCTCCCTTCCTCGCGTCTGGGACTCTTGGCCGATGGCTGACCTGCAGGGACACCCAGCTCCAGCAGTAGGGGCGCGGGGGTGGGTGGGCCTGGGGCGTCGGGGCTCAACCGAGAAATGGGGGCTTGGGGCGTCTTGGGGGAAGAGCGGATGAGCCGAGAGGGGAGTGGGGAAGGGGGATGGGTGGGAGGCAGGGTGGGGGGCGTTGGCTGGGGCTCCCCACGCTCTCGGCCCTGGCCCCCAGGCGGCTGCAGGTCACGGCCAAGGCCCAGTGAGGCGAGCAGGGCAGTGCCGCGCAGCAGTGCGCGCTGGATCAGCTTGGGGGTCCCAGAGCCGCTGCTGCGTTCAGCCGGGGCTGGCCGCCGGGGCTCCTCTGGCTCTGGGCTCGGCCTTGGGGGGTTACCTGGTGGCGAGGGTGGGGCATAGGTTAGGGGACCTTCAGGTGGGGTGCTCTGGTACCCCTCATTGGCCCAGGTATGAGGTCTGAGTTAACATCTTCCCTGACCCCGCCCACCGTGCCTCCCCCCTCGCACACATCCAGGTCTTTCAAGAAGTGGGGGTGGGGGGAGGCAGTGCAGGCCAAAGCAGCAGCAGGGGCAAAGCCTGGGAGGCAGCTCCGTGCCCTGGAGCCAGAGATGGGGGAGGAAAAGGTCACCAGGAGGCAGCATTGGCCAGATCCTCAAAGGCCAGCCAGGAGCACCTGCAGGGCCCCAGGGACGGGATTAGGGCCTGAGCCCTGTGCCCACACTCTTCCTGGATGGGCAGAGCCTGGTCCTTCTGCCTGCCTGTCCCCACTGCAGGGGTAGCTTATCTGGGGCAGCAGGTGAACTCCGATGTACACAACATCACTGTCCCTATTCCCGAAACGAGGAAACAGGCTCAGAGAGGTTGCTGTTTGTGCCAGCCCCCAGCTGAATGACTTAGGGAATGACGTTGACCGATCTCATTCCTCAAGAGTCCCAGGATCAGAGAGGTTAAGGGCGTGTCTAAGGCTGCACAGCCAGTATGGGGCGGAGCAGGCCTCACTCTAGGCAGGGGCAACAGAGCCTTTGCTCTCCACCACTTTCCAACCTGTCTGCTCTGATTTCAGGACATCTGTGTCCTACTTGTGGGCCTAGCGGGCCTGTCAAACCCCAATCTTGTCCGGTCCTCCTTGGCTCTAGAACCTGCCATGGCTCTCCATTGCCAAGAGAAGAAAGTCCACGCTCCTTGGCTGGGCTTTCAAAGCCCTCCCCAGCCTCCCCGCCACCTTCCCTGTCTCTTTGGGCCAAACGTAGAGTGGGCCTGCCTGGAGTGGAGCCCTGGGCGGGGTATCGAGAGAAAGAACTAAAACTGGGAGAAGATGAGCTTCTACTTTGAATCAGAACTTGTTTCTTTGTTGTTGTTTTTTGGGGGGGGGGTCCCTGTTCTCAGCCACAGCCCTGACCCAGTCTCTCTGCCTCTGAAGACAGGTCTCTGCATAAAAACTCCCCACCATTTTCAGGCTCTTCCTTCACCGGCGCCTGCTTATTTTTCCAGCTTTGCTCACTCATTCATTCGACAAACTTCTACCGACAAACTTCCATTGTCAGGGCTGCACTGGGCTTCACAGACCCAGGAGGTGCAGGCCTAGTGCTCTCCTGTCACTGCCTGGCTCTCAACTCTGCTCTGAGTCCAGCCGGACTTCCTTTTGCTCAGGTCTGGTGAGCCCCACGTCTGCGCACACACATTCCCTCTGCCCAGCACACCTTCCCCACCCATCGAGACCCAGCTCAGATGTTGCCTCCTCTGGGAAGCTGGTATTGTGATTTGTAATAAGAAATATATACTTGGTCTTCCTCTCATTCCAGGCACAGAGCTCCTAAAACCCCGGGAATTTCCTAAGTGATAGAGTGACAAAGGTAAAGGAGCACCTTTTAAAATTCAGAACAAGCCCTGTTGACCACACCTGAGTTCATATTAACGGGGTGACTTTGGGAAAGC